TGGTTTGATTATATTGTATGTATATTTTCATTCAGATGAGATGGGCTGTGTATAACAAAACAATTTATCTCTTCCATGTGAGTACTTTATTCCAACCATGTGACAAGTGTGACAACCCCCATCAACTCACAACTCAGCTTTGAACTCAATTAATATTGTCTTTTAGCTTGATGGTTCATAAAGCATGTTACTTGAACAGTATGAATCAATTATGCAATTTCCATGTTCAATTTAACACTACATTTCAAATTCATTTCATATGTAATTGGAGTTTGAATTTAAATTTCAATTTAAATTTCGACTCCACTATAAATATTAGCCCAAGCCAATATGCATGTTATCATTGATTATTCCTAATTTCCATTGTTTTTTTTTCAACTTTAAACGCGAGGGAAATCTCGACCATCCTATTTTTTGGTCAACTTTAAAGCGTCAAAACGTTTCGGGCGTATGATCTGGGTGGTATACGAGAAATGTAACAAATGGCAACTAAAATCATAAGTCTGAAATGCTTCTGAGTACCATCCAAATCATAAGTCCGAAATGCTTCCGATGCTCATCAAAATCCAAAGCTCATATGGTGCCAAGCAAAAGGAAATCCAAATCCAAATCTCATATGGTGCCAAGCAAAAGGAAATCAAAATCTACAACTTGAGTTTGAACATTGATATGATTTGTTCAGTTGTTATCATGTTGGGATTTTCTCGTTTTTGATTGCTTGGATAGTTATTCTCTTGCTTCTTCAAGTGTTCTTAGCTTGTAATTTATAGCTTGGAATGTGTTTGATGTTGTATATACTTTGATGTTGCATGTTGCGATCAACGCGAAAGTTAAATTCGCAACGTGAAAGTCAAATTCGTAAACCGAAAATCGCGTTGCGAATTTGACTTTCGCGTTGCGAATTTGTACCTTCAACATGTCTTTTTTGCCTTCAAACATAACGCAGATTGAATTTTTTAGAAACAACAAATCAACTTTTACAAATCAATTAAACAAGCAAAATAATAATTCTTATTTACAAATCAAATTAAACAAATCAACTTTTACAAATCAATTAATCAAAAAATAAATCTTATTTCCTCATTAATTGTAACAAATCAACTTTCAATGTAAAATTCAATTAAACAAAGAAAAAAAGTGTACCCAGACTGTTGTTTATGCACAATACATTTCACGCAGCTCACTTCAGGATTAACCTGCAGAAACCAAACATTTGCTCAAACAACACTTTTACACATCTAAAACTAATAAACAACAAATTATTGAATTCTAGGTACTTAACCAATTATTTTCAAACCAATTAAAGATTATATATATTAACAACACTTGCTCAAACTTACCAATTATTTATGTACAACTTTCAGCACGTGGATGCAGGTAGGCAGCGTCTCGAATATATCGATCTGGCCATAAAATGCCGAAAGCACAAGCCTACTGCAGCTCTATCTCTATCTGTAGGAGGTAGATATTGTATACTTCCTGTCGTCAAACGTTCCAAGCACAAGCATACGAGAGGACCACAATCCCCTCTGGCTCCCTGCGTTTGTTGTGGCGCAGTCTCGTCTCTGATCATTGTAATTTTGAACTTCTTTGGCTTCTTATTTCCAGATTTTGTCCAATAATCAATCGCATTCAAGAATTTAGCCAAATGATCGCTCCATCTCTTTGTAATAATATCTCTAAAATCAGACAATGGTATATAATTCAACATGCTGTCATATACCACTGTCTTCAGGGATAGGAGTTGAAGCTCAACGAGAAGCCAATGACGCTTTTCCAAAACAGTGATAAACACCTACAATCATAAATAATTGCGCACATCAAATAAAATTTATGAAAACCTTTAAAATATTCAAAATATAAATACTAACCTTATCGACCTCCCACCGCGCAGGATAAAGTTTAGCTTTTCCATTAGCCAACTTATATGAAGCATCTCTCTGATCCTTCAAGTGAGCTGCGTGAAAAGACATCGGCATAATAGTCCATCGAATACCTCTTTTCTTCAATTTCCTTATTATTAGAAGACGTGACACCCATGCATCAATATGTTGTTTTATAAAAAAATAAATATATTAGTGAATTTATTAATAATTTAAAAAAATAATCAAAATACAATATAAGAAGAATATAATACTTACCCCCCTTCGAGGTAGCTATTATCTTCAACCCCTAATAAAATACCCCACCAAAACCGATCAAGAAACAAATGAATAGCATCGTCGATTTGGCATAGGTCAGAATAACACCCCTTGCTCCGCTCATGTAGATAAAAATCAACTGCGGTCTTAGCCCAAAGGATATTATCCGTAATTATGTCCGGTAGTGTTTCCATCTCCTGCTGAGGAATGGTACTGGCCGGTAACTCATACGAAAGCTAACATGCATCCATCATATCGGGCACGGGAGGTGGTTTATCAATATGTCAACATATGACACCAAATGAATCGGGCTCTTGAACGGCGGGCGGGACCACTTGAACGATAACAGTGGCCTCTTGAACGGTTGGAAGGGCTTCTTCGATGATGATAGGGGACTCTTGAACGATAGGAGGCACCTCTTGAATGATGATAGGTGCATCGGGCTTATTTTTACGGAGTCTTGGCACTAGTGGGGTGAACGGAGACGTAATGACACGTGTACGACGTCTGATGCATGAACCCCGTCGTGCAAGAAGAACCCGACGTAAAGCATCTACCTTAACGGGCAGTTGAAAATAAATTAATATATAAATCAGTAAATAAATAAATAAATAATACCGAAAAAAAGTTATTTGCATTTTTAGTATAGTATTAAAATAAATTTATCTCATTGCGTAGAGTATTAACCTCATTCTACAACAATGAAACAATCTCGCGTAGAGCGGCAACCTCATCACGTAAGGTAGATACCTCAACGCGTAGCGCACTATTGTCATCGCGTAAAAAATCCACCTCACCACGTAAAGATCCAACCTCGTCATGTACCATTATCTTCACGTAAAGTACCGACCTCATGACGCAAAGCACCGACCTCATCACGTAATTCCCCTAACTCATCCCGTGGAGGTGGAGAACAGAGAGATGGAGATAGACGGAGCCTCTTTGCCGGTCGCCTATCATGAGATGATGGTGGAGAAGAGGCTCGATGATGTGATGGAATAGGTGATGGTGGAGGTGGAGAAGAGGCTCGACCAGGTGATGGCTCCGGGTGTCGAGCTATAGAATCGGCCCGATGAGGTGATGGCTTTCGAAGTGGGGGTGCTCATCATCCGTCCCATCAAAAAACCGCTTACTAGCTTGCAACCATTCAGTGGCAAGCTCAGCATCTGAGGGTGTCAGCCTCTGTAATGGGTAGTTGGCCTCCTAACAATATAAAAGCTCAAACAAAGTTAAAAGTGTACAAGTAATAACTTGTTTATATATGATAGTATTTGTGTGTCAACATAGCATCTCCACCTGGATGTTGTACTTTCAGCTATTGCCCGAAGCAAGTATCTTCAAACAATTTTCTTTGTAGAGGTGTAAGCGTCGACGCAATTTTAGTGGCTATGCTTAATTTATTCCTTAAGGTCAATTGAGCCGAAAAAAATTTCTACAAAAACAATAATCATACCAAGTTAGATATACCAAAAACTACAAATTATATACTACAAACAAACATGATATTAAACAGTGAAAACAAAGCCAAATATGTTTCAAACTAGCACGGTATTCACCCAAGTCATTATTTCATCATAGTTCACAAAATGCAACAGATAACAATCCAGAAGTAAGCATTTATATAAACATTTAAAAAAAGATAACATATAGGTTTAGTGCAGGTTCAAGAACAACATAAAGAGTAGTAGTTTATTCTTCAAACTTAAATTAGCAACACTGTGAAGTTAGTATTTGTCTTTTTTTTTGTTGAAGTAATACAATTAATTCAAGTTTCAATTTGGTGAATAAAAGAAGTTTCTGAAACTTAAATTCGCAACGCGAAAATGAAAATCGCAACGCGATTTTAGTTTCGCGTTGCGATTTTTGCGTTACGAATTTGGTGTTGTAATTTAGGGTTTCTTCAACAAAAAGACAAAATAAAGACAAATACTAACTTCACAGGGTTAAAGACTAAACAGTTTAGCAGTATTGGCAGCAACCGAATGAATTTAGCAATCTCAGTGAAATGGTTAATCTAATAATAATACAAAAATTTCAAAATAAAAATAAGAGATTAAAAAAACTAACCCTCGGTGGTTGATTTTCTATTTCTGACCGTGAATGGTTGTGAGGGTTGATCTGAGAGATGGAGATAGACGGATTTCGTCAGAAATGGGGACGGATTTCATCGGAGATGGGGACGGATGTCGCCGTAGAGAGTGAGAGATGGAGATGAGACTGAGTTGTGCTTTAGGGTTTTAGGTTAGAGATGATTTGCGATAATAATGTTTACATTTGTGTTGCGAAATTAATATTGTGTTTCGCATAAAAACATTTGACTTTTGCGTTACAAATTTGACTTTCGCATTACGAATTTGGAAAATCGCAACGCGAATTTGGAAAATCGCAATACGATTTACATATTCGCGTTACGAAATTGGAAACTGGGTTGCGAAATTGGAATTCGCGTTGCGAATTTGTTGGTCATTTTGGCAAATCCAAAAAAAATTGGTTAAATTCGTATATTATAAGGCATTTTTTGTCACTGACTTTATTTTTCTCTAATTAAAATGTTATCTTATTTATTTTAAAAAGTTATATAATTTATAATAATTTTAGTTACAATTGAGAATGTTATATTGTGATAAATTTTAACTTAAAATGTTACTCTATCTACTATAAAAAATTGTATAATTTATAATAATTTTGATTACAATTTAAAATATTACATGAGATTTTTAATCGTAATATTTTATTGCAACTATTTGAGCGTAATATTTTATCTTTTAATTAAAAATATTTTTTAATTTACTTTACAGAATTACGCATTTGATAAGTTTTTCAGCGGCTAACTGTGAATACTGAATAAGTTGTTTTGTCTGATCGTGGAGCCAGAACTGCAGAAGAAGCTTCTATAAATTTCCTTCACCACCGACTAAATCTAAAGTAACACCTATGAATCTTCATCGACACAGCTCGATCTGGTCAAATACAAACAGCGCATCCCCTCTTTTGTTTCCTATCAGATTCCAACCCTTCAATCAGGCTACGGAGCTCCAACTCAAAAGGAAACCCAAATACATTTCAGCATCCATTACTTCCATTGATGCATATCCACAAGCATTTGGCAGCCATGGAGGAAGACGGAGCCGTAACACTCTACAACAAGACGGCCATCACCGACTCCAAGAAAACCTCATTCTCTATCAAAGTGGGTCTTGCACAAATGCTTCTTGGCGGCGCCATTGTCGAAGTCTCAATTCTCAACCAAGCCAAACTTGCCGAAGAAGCCGGCGCCTGTTGTTTAGTCATAACCGAACCCAACCGCCAAGGCATCTCGCGCATGCCCGATCCTTCTATCATCAAACAAATAAAACGAGCCGTCTCAATCCCTGTCATGGCTCGTTCCCGCGTCGGTCACTTCGTCGAAGCCTGGATTCTTGAACGAGTAGGAGTGGATTACATTGACGAGAGCGAGGTTTTAGCTATAGCCGATGAAGATAATTTCATTAATAAGCATAAATTTAGATGCCCTTTCATTTGCGGCTGCAGGAACCTCGGGGAAGCGTTAAGGAGAGTGAGGGAAGGAGCTGCCATGATTAGAACGCAGGGGGGCTTGTTAGGGACTGGGAACATTGCTGAAACGGTTAAAAACGTGAGGTCCGTGATGGGTGAAATCAGGATTTTGAATAACATGGATGAAGATGAAGTTTTCGCGTTTTCGAAGAAAGTTACTTCCCCTTATGATTTGGTTGCTCAAACCAAGCAAATGGGAAGACTACCAGTGGTACATTTTGCTGCTGGTGGAATTGTAACCCCGGCAGATGCAGCATTGATGATGCAGTTGGGGTGTGATGGTGTCATTGTGGGATCAGAACTGTTCAATAACTGCTCGGATCCGTTTAAGTGTGTTCGGGGTATTGTGAAAGCAGTTAGGCATTATAATGATCCTCATGTGTTGGTGGAGAACAGTTATGGATTGGAGGAGGAAATGGCAGGCCTTAATGTCAGTGAGGAAAGGATGGAACCCTTTGGAGAAGGAGCTTGATCAAGTTATGGATCTTTTTTCTTTTGTTTTTAGATTCATTTGACTGTTTCTTTGTTTCCCTTGCGGCTGCAGGCTGCTGTTCTTTTTCTTTTGCTAAGATTGTGACTTAGATATGCTATATTTTTCATGTTGAAGTCTTTGAGGACATAATTCCAGAATAAGTTGGTTTCATCAACATGAAAAATTGTTAACGTAATTACTTTCCTCACTACTTAATTGTTGATTGAGATTGATGCGCGTTTCGGTGATAACATATGCAACGTATAGTTTTGTTCTATGTCGGATTCGAGTACATGTCCGAGTCCGACGTGGAGGGTGATACATTCATACCCATGTCTCTGTCGGATATGGATATGTATACTTTATGTATTCAAATAAATGCATCCGATGGAGCTGCTGCACTTACGGAATGTGATTTTAAGTCATTGCTATTCACATTTATGATTGTATTCATACTATCAGAATTTTGTAAAAGGAAAAATTATGTTTGATTTGCACAAGCATCATGCTGGGAACAGCTGATTTTAGACGATGTCGATCTGAATAAATAAGATCATGTGGACTTGCTTTTCTTGCTTCAGTTTGTACTAGTAAAATACCAGATCCAAGGGTTCTCATTTCTCAACCCAACGCATTACACTAGGCCCACTTAAATGCTTCTTGGATGTATGTATCGAGTGGGATTTAGGGTATGTTTGATACACTATAATTGATTTTATCAAACAATCCATTAATCACTTCATAAAAGTTTATATGCAAAACAATCCATTTCCCAAGGGAATAAAAGTATTTTTCACAAAGTTGGGGACTAAACAACATTAAAATTTGCATACATGAGTATGATACTTTCACTTTAAGTAGTGATACTCTCCCTGTATGAAAATAACGAAATTTGATTTACTCACCAAAACATAAACATAGTATATCAGCTAACATTGATTAATCACTTTCATTATAACAATTATCATCATCATGCAATTCATAAGAGCACATCATATGGAAGCAAGGTCATTCAAACATACTCACAGCATCATGTTTTTCGTATAAAATTTCATAATCAAGATTAACCCATATCCTTCCTATAAATATGTCTCACATGCATTCACCTTATAACACGAAAGCGAATAATAATTTTCACGCATGTAACTCTATATGTTATCATAAATGGACTTTTACCCATCACTTAGAGTTGAAATAAACTTTTATGGTAAGAGGTAAATGGACTAAGCCTCAAAAGGAGCATCTTTATATCCATTATTTTATAAAATTTACTAAATTTAATTTAATGTATGAAGGGAAAAAGAAAATATAAAAAAATTTAGATATCAACTTTTTACAAAAATATATATATATATATATTAAAATTTGGATCCCTCTTTTTTTTAATTTTCATATTAATTTATTTGATATTATTCTTAAAATTTGGATGCCAATTTTTTACAAAAAAATAGTATTTACTAAATTTTTATTCTTAAAATTACATTTAGCTCATGTTAAATTCTTCCCACCTTTATCAAATACCATTTGTCCTTGTGTTTGGTATTAGAATTTGTTTCAGTCTTAAATGTTTTTATGTAGTCTCTCAACACATATCATTTCATGTGTTTGTAACATTTAATATTTGAAAATTAATATTTGTTTAAATCAAACAATTTGCTGCCTCAACTTTATTAAAGACTTTTAGTTATAATTGAGTAAGATCAATTAAAGCTGATCAAGTTGAGTCAACTCAAATTTGAGATATAAGTTTTAAGAGTCGAAGCCCACTTCATCAGGCTTGTTTACTTAGTAAACAATAAACTCGATACTCGTGTTTGAAGAGTTACAAGAATAAAGTATTAAAAATAATTAAATTTGACTAATTCGATAGCTCATATTGTATAAGTCTAAACTCTTAAAAAATCAAACTGGACTCGGCTTCAAAATATAGTCAGTAAAACTCCTTATTGCATTGAGAAATAAGAAATAAAAACAACTATACTCAATAATCGATATTCTCCAGGAATTTAAACAATGTGTTTTGCCCATTGTTTAGTAGGGTAGTTGGTAATCCCAGAATCAGGAAGTTAAAAACAAGCAACTGGACATGAATGTGAAGTTAAATCCAATATTTTATATTGATGAAATCGAAAAAGTTCACTGGCAACAGAACATATACATAAAACATCGAGGCCCTTGTCACTCGGCTTTTCTACTATTAAACCAGGAGCTTGGGTTTCTCAGTCGTTGCATCAGCCATTTTTAACAGTTTTGACTCCAAGAAAAAGGTAGGTATGAACATCAACTGAGGATTGGCAACTAACAAGATTTTCAAAGAATCGATCAGTTGTTCATCAACCACTCATATTTTCCATTAATTTCTCTTCGATCAACCAGCCTTACCCAATTTGTTAGTTTTTAATCATACTTCCAATATCTTTTTCATTTTGCCAGAAGAAATATGGTAATACACTCTCTTTCTCTCTAACAAGTGTGTTTACACCTGCCATTGAAAGAAGCATTTCTGCTGATAATCTTATATTTTGTTGCAGTCTCTGATGCCATTGATGGTACGGTCGGTAGCAAGGCTAGTAACGACGCTGGTAGTTGCGCCAGCAGCATCGATGACAACGTTGCTTTATTACAGCGATCTTCTCCCGCGAAACCTCAACTTAGAAAGATTGGTTAGACGGGACTTGATGGAACCAGAAAACTACTTGTTTCATTTTCTCATTAGCCTGTTGAGATGTTTTTGGTAGTAATTACCAATATCTGTGATGATCAATATCCATGGTTTACCTGTTAGTTGATGTTCTTAATATTTATGTGCACGGCCGTGGTTGATTGTAACAATGCTTTTTTGGCCCCCATTTTTCTTTTTCAGAACGGGCTCGGATAATTTTGCTGGAAAGGAAGTATCCATTGATGGAACTTTGAGCTTGATATTGCACAAGAGAACTCCTAGATTAACGAGTAGAATTAGGACTTGAAACTCATATTGTCATTTGTATAATAAGGGTTTTGGTTGCAGGAAAGAATAAAGATGACTGCTGATTAATGAAATTCCAATGGCAGATCCCTTCCCCTTTTTTTTCAAGGGTTCTGTGTGTTTATTGAAGGGTTACCTTTTTCCCAACAAGTTTCGGTATTGTCTAATCAGAGTTTCTGGGAGTGAACTGTGCATGAAGGCTAAGAAAATGACCCTTCACATATATGTTAGACAATCATTTAATTTTGGATACGATGACACTAACATGATATTGATGCGGGAAAAATAGAAAAATGATAAATTATTGCCACCAGTGAAGTGACAGGAAATTTGTATCAAATCTTGTTTAACGTCAATTTCGCATTCCTCCCTTGTATCTTTATCTCCTTTCTTCTATATACAAGTATCATCAGCGACTATGCTTCGTCCCCGGGGTCATTTGTCCCCCCACCCACCACCACCACCACCAATTTTCTATTATTAGAAAAATTTTATGAGTAAATTTTAAATTTATTTTGATTTTATCTTTTTATTTTTTACAATGATTATACTTTATCTCTTCATTATTTATGATCAATTATATTGTACCTATTGAGTCGGCATCCGGACTCTATCTATAGGTATCATATATTGAAATTTTTTTGGAATATTATAATAGGAGATATCATCGTATTACACAATGTAATTTTTTTTTAGTTTTACACAAATTTAGGACTATTAGATGCGTGAGATTAATAGTAAGAAATGAGAAGATATTCACTGAAAAAATATAAGAAGTTAATCTCGATCATCTATTTTCACTCATCCAACTGTTCTAAATCTGTATAAAACTAAAAAGTTTTAGAATGTGTAAGTGAATCTTAATCCTTATAGTACTATATATTTATATTTTTAAGAAATGTAACTATATTTTTATATATTTGAATTTGTTAATATTTACCCCTTACAGTATTATAGTTTTAACATTTTTAATAAATTAAATATATTTGGATATATATATATATATTTACATTTTTTAATATTTTATCAATTTTTAAAAAATATATTATTTTAACTTTTTAATGCTAATTGAAAAATAAAATAATTTATATCAGCTTAATGAGTTAGTTATTTTTCCCATTACATGGTATTATTTAATAAAATAGAAGTCTAAACGAGTTTCTTTCAAAAATCCGAGGTCCAAAAAATTAGAATAGATCAAAACTCATGATAGAGGTTTACGTCAGCAGCTTGTTGATTTAATAAAAAAGGATGTTTACATCAGCCACTATGGACCAAAACATCCTTTTAAGGCCCAAGATTTATCTCAAAGCTATCGCCGAGTACGAAAGCCTTCTTGGACCCCTTTTGAACAACACTTTGATGTGGTGCCTACCGCCTCCAATCGGGTTCTGGATTTTATTTTTATCATTAAATTAAAATTTTTATTGATTAATATATTATAAACCCACTGTTTAATGTTTGTGCCGCCGCTAGGTGTGAAGTGGAAGACATTATACGTAATTGCAATATTCATGTGTAGCTGCCCCAATAATTTTCACCTGATTTAAAAGCGTCGTAGCATGTGAGCTGATTGCAAGGGTTACTTCGTTTTGACGCCATTTCCAAAAGTTTTGATGACCATTTACGTCCACTAGAGCAACACAACACCACCATAAACCAGCTCCAACTATCATGCCTTTCATACACAACTTATTGACAGCTATGTCTATGGACCCCATTTATTTATTTAGCTACCCATCATTCATTTCATTCTCATGCATTATCTAATTTTATAAGTGGCAAGAAAACCTTTATTTTTTCAGATAATGTACATGAAGACGGCATTGCCCATTTGTCTACTCCAACTTCAATACAACACAATCGATCATTGGTCTACCACAGGTGAAAGTATCGGACAACTTATAATTCCTTTTATTTTTAATCCAATCAATTTAATATTTTTTATATCATAAAATAATTTAAGGTAAAATATGTCTTTTTAGTTATCACTAACATTAAATTTTAATTTCGTTTTAGTCATTTACAGTTAAAAAAATAATGGTGATGCTGACGTATCATCATAAGATAATGTCATATCATCATTGGAAAAAATAAAAATATCACATCAGCACAGATGACAAAAAAACTAAAATGTAACGTTAGTAATGAGTAATGACTTTGAAAAAAAGTAGTTGGTGACCAAAATAAAATCAAAATGATAGTTGAGTAAGTAAATACGTAATTTAAACTAGTCCATTTAT